TTTCAAAAAATCCACTCCTTGCTCAGTCAAAAATCACGCCAGTCCACTCCTCACTCCGCTCCCACTCCACTCCGCTCACATACTCTGGCATGAAGGAGACCCAGTGAAGAGGAACGGAGAGTTTGAGAAGGGGTATAAGGCTGTATGAGATCTGAGAGATAAGGTGGAGCAAGGTTATGAAGAGTTTTATAAGTGAGGAGAATACTTTTAAATTCAGTGCAGAATTTGATGGGAAGCCAATGAAGCTGTTGAAGAGATGGGGGTAATGTGTTGTATAGATGGAGTCCAGGTTATGATACGAGCAGCATAATTCTGAATCAGCTGGAGTGTATGGAGAAGCTTGTGTGGTAAACCAAATAAAAGAGAGTTATAGTAGTCAGAGGTGACAAGCGCGTGAACAAGAATGGCAGTACTGTGCGGAGTGAGAGATGGACGGAGGAGAGCAATATTACGAAGATGAAAGTAGCAAGACCACTATTGATGTGGGCTTCAAATGAAAGAGTGCTATCGAGGATGACCCCCAAGTTCCTAACCTGGCGGGAAGGAAAAATGGAGGAACTGTCAATGGATAATGAAAAACTGCTGCAACTAGAAATAATAGAGTTAGTGCCTATAAGGAGTATTTTAGTCTTACTGCCATTAAGTTTAAGAAAATTGGCAGAGAACCAATCTTTTATTTTGTGAAGACCGTAAGACAGACAGGTGGAAGAATGGAGTGAGGCTTTGTAGATACATAAAGTTGTGCATCATCAGCATTACAGTGGAATTTAATACCAAATTTAGGAAAGATATTACCAAGTGGGAGAATGTAAATTAGGAACAATAGAGGACCAAGAACAGATCCTTGGGGGACACCACAGCTAACAGAAAAAGGTTGGGATTGAAAAGATTTTAGTTGAACAAACTGTGTGCATTTGGAAAAGTATGAAGTGAACCAGGCAAGAGGAATACCACAGATACCAATAGCAGATAAAGAGTTCAACAAAATGTTGTGTGAGATGGTGTCAAAAGCTGCACTCAAATCAAGCAGAACAAGAATAGATAAGGACCAGCAATCAGCAGCCATTAACAGATCATTAGTTACTCTCACAAGGGTGCTTACAACACATCCTTTATTGTGTTGTAACAGTAGTCCAGTATTTTACTGTCTCTGGTAGGACATGTAACGTGCTGTCTGTATGCATCATCAGCATTACAGTGGAATTTAATACCAAATTTAGGAAAGATATTACCAAGTGGGAGAATGTAAATTAGGAACAATAGAGGACCAAGAACAGATCCTTGGGGGACACCACAGCTAACAGAAAAAGGTTGGGATTGAAAAGATTTTAGTTGAACAAACTGTGTGCATTTGGAAAAGTATGAAGTGAACCAGGCAAGAGGAATACCACAGATACCAATAGCAGATAAAGAGTTCAACAAAATGTTGTGTGAGATGGTGTCAAAAGCTGCACTCAAATCAAGCAGAACAAGAATAGATAAGGACCAGCAATCAGCAGCCATTAACAGATCATTAGTTACTCTCACAAGGGTGCTTACAACACATCCTTTATTGTGTTGTAACAGTAGTCCAGTATTTTACTGTCTCTGGTAGGACATGTAACGTGCTGTCTGTATTTTGGCAGTTCACGGGAGAGATTTGCTTTATTAAAATCCCCAAGATTGATTAAAAGAGAATCTGGGTACCTTTGCTTATGTCCAGTAGTTCGTTTCTGGTAAAAACTGATGATAAAAAATGACTAAGCACACAACAAGCATACAAAAACAGCCAAAGAATGGGATAACTCCACACCGAGGCAGCCATTCACGGTGCATCTTGATTTCATTTTCAGACAAACACTGAAATGTAAAACAAAAATAAAATCTACTTCATTACAGTAACGTGACAATTTGTAAATAGTCACGTCACACCCTGATACGCCTACTGTATAAAAACATATGGTATAATGTACAGTAAACCACATTGTTTACACTTATTTTAAATTTGTTTTGACAGTTTTAAACTTAGTTTGGAGAAATGTCTCATGAATAATATATGTTCTACCAATCAACGGATAAATATTTATTATTAGTCAAAATTAATGATAGGTTTTGGTATGTGTGTGTGTATGACTTTGTTGAATTTTTTTTGTTGCAATTAAGTACATTTGTCTTCCTGTCATTCCAATTTAAATTCCAATGCAACATCTTGTGTGGTGTAGCTAATTCAATCTCTGGTGAACTCCATGCCCAAGAGGGTTAAGGCAGTGCTGGAAAATAATGGTGGCCACACAAAATATTGACACTTATATTGTAAATATTTACAAAAATGTGAGGGGTGTACTCACTTCTGTGAGATACTGTATATATAAATGATTTAAGATGATTATCAAATTTCAGTATATTCCTCACGCAAAGCCTATTGTTTGACTTCAGAACACATGGAATATGGAGTCTTGACTCATATGGACTACTTTATTGGAGCTTTGATGGTGTTTTTTGGAGATTGACTAACATAGTCTGTCATTGTACAGAAAAGAGTAATGTGAAACTTAAAAATGTTGGAATACTGCCCTGCGGCCCAGTCTCCGAAGGGAGGGGATCATGCTCTGCTTCAGTATGTCACAGTACATGTTGGCATTCATGGTTCCCTCAATGAACTGTAGCTCCCCAGTGCCGGCAGCACTCATGCAGCCCCAGACCATGACACTCCCACCACCATGCTTGACTGTAGGCAAGACACACTTGTCTTTGTACTCCTCACCTGGTTGCCGCCACACACGCTTGACACCATCTGAACCAAATAAGTTTATCTTGGTCTCATCAGACCACAGGACATGGTTCCAGTAATCCATGTCCTTAGTCTGCTTGTCTTCAGCAAACTGTTTGCGGGCTTTCTTGTGCATCATCTTTAGAAGAGGCTTCCTTCTGGGACGACAGCCATGCAGACCAATTTGATGGTGTGCGGCGTATGGTCTGAGCACTGACAGGCTGACCCCCCACCCCTTCAACCTCTGCAGCAATGCTGGCAGCACTCATACGTCTATTTCCCAAACACAACCTCTGGATATGACGCTGAGCACGTGCACTCAACTTCTTTGGTCGACCATGGCGAGGCCTGTTTGAGTGGAACCTGTCCTGTTAAACCGCTGTATGGTCTTGGCCACCGTGCTGCAGCTCAGTTTCAGGGTCTTGGCAATCTTCTTATAGCCTACGCCATCTTTATGTAGAGCAACAATTCTTTTTTTCAGATCCTCAGAGAGTTCTTTGCCATGAGGTGCCATGTTGAACTTCCAGTGAGCAGTATGAGAGAGTGAGAGCGATAACACCAAATTGAACACACCTGCTCCCCATTCACACCTGAGACCTTGTAACACTAATGAGTCACATGACACCGGGGAGAGAAAATGGCTAATTGGGCCCAATTTGGACATTTTCACTTAGGGGTGTACTCACTTTTTTGGCCAGCGGTTTAGACATTAATGGCTGTGTGTTGAGTTATTTTGAGGGGATAGCAAATTCACACTGTTATACAAGCTGTACACTCACTACTTTACATTGTAGCAAAGTGTCATTTCTTCAGTGTTGTCACATGAAAAGATATAATAAAATATTTACAAAAATGTGAGGGGTGTACTCACTTCTGTGAGATACTGTATATATAAATGATTTAAGATGATTATCAAATTTCAGTATATTCCTCACGCAAAGCCTATTGTTTGACTTCAGAACACATGGAATATGGAGTCTTGACTCATATGGACTACTTTATTGGAGCTTTGATGGTGTTTTTTGGAGATTGACTAACATAGTCTGTCATTGTACAGAAAAGAGTAATGTGAAACTTAAAAAAAAAAAAAGTTTGTTGCTGTGGATAACCCCATATGTGTTTGAATGACAGGAGGTTGAGTAAATGAGAGAATGTTCATTTTTAGGTGACCTATTCTTGATTCTATAAACTCAATGAGTGTGTCCTCCTAGTGCTTTGTCAAAGACATGCTGATTAATGGTTCATTTACTCTAGTCTGTGAAAGGCCTTTATCACTCTCATTTACACACACACACACACACACACACACACACACACTGCAAACAATTTGTCTGAAGCCACTTTGTAAGTGTCCTTATTATGTAGTTGCTTAGCAGCCATAAGCCAGCGTGCCTCTGTGGAGTATTAGTGTGTAATTATCTGCCGTTTGCTCAATGTTTTGACCTTGCCAGCATTCGTATAGATTTGCAGCAACCTTCCCTGACCTCCGCTCCGAAAACCATTGCATGCTATCATCCTCCATTCTCCTGGGACTTGCATGAAATAAGCAATGCCACTGCGCCACTACACAGAATTTGAATGCAGAATGCATCTGCAATTGCCTGTGTCTTTAAATGTTCGTTCAGCCCCACTAAAGTCCCTGCGGGGACGACTGGAACATATGGAGAGCCGCAGTGATGTGAGGTGTTAAGGGGAGTTTCCACCATGAAATAAAAATGGACCCTATTTACTTTCTATTTCACTTATTTGTCAGTGCATGTTATTCCAAATAACAACAGGTTTATAATTTTAAAAATGTAAAAACTCTGAAATTTTCTCTCTATTATACCCTATTATTTGGACACTTTTGGACACTAAAGTCACAACTCAAAAAACAGGTTTCCTTGCTGAGTAATCATATATTAACTATGGACATGTAACGTTTGACAACCACAAAGTGTCCAAACACTTATTTTTGTGAAACGTCCTGCTTTAAAAGTGCCTGTGCTATATTTCTTTCAAATAAATGTCACTTGCTTTTACCTTTTTGTTATGAACTGCCAATGTAGATAATGCGGTATTTAAAAACTCTTGCCAAAAGTAATTTAATGATGGGCAATGTTAATGTAATAAAGTCAACAGCAAATAATAATAATGATAGCAAAAAAATAATGATAAATGTGAGATAAAAGTGCACAATATGTCATGGAATACATCACATTATTACTTATTAACAGTATTAACATGGGTTGGGAATGTTCATGTTCATCAGGTTCCTCCTATAATGAGAAATCAGAGGGTAAGAAGAAAGGACGCCCTCGCGTGGAGGTGCAGGAGCTGCGCATTATTCCCGTGAGTAAAGCAATAAATATCCATTTTGGCCAGTGATGAAGTAATGAAGCTACGCCAGATTAGGATTTTGGGTGATTTTTTAATGCCAATTGTGAAAGGAGTAAAGGGACTTTCCAAACTGCTTCCAACTGTTGCATTTGGAGAAAGAACATCTCACAGAGGCCTGTGTATAAGTGAATTGAGTGCTAATAGTTTCTAATGGCTCTTGTGTGTGTGTGTGTGTGTGTGTGTGTGTGTTTCCTTGCCCTAGGCCCATATGATGGTTCAGTGGAAAGAGGAGTTTAAGAGTCGTTCCAGGGTGAAATGTCCATGCTCAGGCTGCTGGTTGGAATTCCCCAGTATTTACGGACTTAAATATCACTATCAGCGATGCCAAGGGGTAAAAACTGAAATCCAGACTCCACAGTCATGCGCTGCAAAATCATGAATGCAACCAACACTCGTTTATTAATAGGAATGTATAAAACTACATTCATTTGAAATCAGATAGTGGGTTGCATGAACTCAACTCAAAGTCTTAAGGAGCCCTGTAAATTTAAGTTTGGTTTAGGATCATGTCTGCCAGGCAATTTGAGGTCTAACTGTTATTGTTTTGAAATTTCTTGACATCAGCAAATGTGTTAAAGGGCTAGTTCACCCATAAATTAAAATTCATTAATTACTCACCCTCATGTCGTTTCAATCCTGTAAGACCTTTGTTCATTTTCGGAACACAAATTAAGATATTTTTGATGAAATCCGAGAGCTTTCTGACCCTCCATAGATAGTAACACAACTGATACGTTCAAGGCCCAGAAAGGTAGCAAAGACATCGTTAAAATAGTCCATGTGACATCATGGGCTCAACTGTAATGTTATGAAGCTACGCGAATACTTTTTCTGCGCGAAGAAAACAAAAATAATGATTTTATTCAACAATTTCTTGTCTTCTGTGTCAGTCTTCGATGCGCTTTCACGAGAGTACCACGACTCAGAAAGCTCTCGGAATTCATCGAAAATATCTTAATTTGCTCTGAAGATGAACGAAGGTCTTACGGGTTTGGAACGACATGAGGGAGAGTAATTAATGACAGAATTTTCACTTTTGGGTGAACTAACCCTTTAAGCGGTATTTTGGTGACTATTAAATAGAATGAATTTAGAGACACAACTTTGGTGCTAAGCACAACACGCTAAAATCTAAAATATTTTTAATAATAATATGTATATTAATACATATTTTGTTTATAACAAATAAATAATAACTACCATTCAATAGTTTGCAATCAGTTCGATTTTTTTTTATGTTTTTGAAGGAATATCTCTTATGTTCACCAAGG